CCCGAAGAAATCAGTGGTGGGACCCAGGGTCGGTGAGTCCGATGAATCTTAGTTTTCTTTTGCCCACACGTGAAAGGAAAAGGGGAAAAAAAAAAGTTTTTGTACTGCAATGATGTCGAGGAGGGTAGTCTAGGAGGCCGTGCTAACAGTCTTCCTCTACAGCTGTCTCTTATACACATCTAGATGTGTATAAGAGACAGGTGTGGTACAGGTAGCAGATAGTTTGCTCCCACATGGTGAGTTGTATTCTTATCAGGTTTTGCACTCTTCGCGCGGGGGGGGTTACATGTGCGCGTGTGTGGTACAGGTAGCAGATAGTTTGCTCCCACATGGTGAGTTGTATTCTTATCAGGTTTTGCACTCTTCGCTACTGCGGCTGGATGGGCAGACTACGGCAAATCTTGAACTTTTTGAGAATAACTACAATGGATCTCAAGGTGGGACGCTGTTGGGATTGCTGGACACATGTGCTACTGCTGCAGGGAAGCGCCTTATTCGCCGCTGGATATGTCAGCCATTGCGGTCAATCGCCGCGATAAATGAGCGGCTTGATGCCGTTGAAGAGATTTTGTTGAGGCCTGGGTTGTCTTCATTTCTCCGCAAAGATTTGAAGAAACTCCCAGATCTGGAACGGCTGCTCGGGCGAGTCAGAAGGACCACCAGTGTTCTCGATCAAGGGGGGGAGGTCAAGATCAGTGTATCAAACGCACAAGCACAGAGGCGAATGGTAGGTTGCTGCACCTTGAAAGTGAACATGGAAAGGGAGTATGGATAGGGCAAAGAGCAGATGTAGGTCATTTAACATGGAAACGGGAATTAAAAGAGTGTTTATAAGAAGCAAACTAAAGATTCCACATGTGAACCACTGGGTCTTGGATTACGACAATACTTGGCTTGCTGTTGCCTCTAGGCAGACAGGACTTGCGGCACACCTGTACGGTGCGCGGATCGGCACTGCACCTTCACTGCATGCGTGCGCTGGGCGGCATTCTATTGCCGCTTGTGTGCATGCACAGGTGTAGTGCACTTGTTTTGACATGTCTTCCTTTTAACCCGGAAAGTAATTTTGTGTTAGGGTTTTATAGTGTTTTGTGCTTTTTTGTTCGCTTTCTTTGCCCTGTTTATTTTTTTGGTGTTTGCACTATGGGCCCATATCGTTTGTTTTTGGAATTTTTGCTGTGTTACGATCCTGGTCATTCCCAAAGTGCAAATTCGCAATGAAAGACAATGCCACCCAATTGCAAAAGAAATGAAAGATAGAGACCAGAGGAGAGAGAAAGAAGAAGAAGAAGAAGAAGAAGAAGAAGAAGAACACCAGCAAGACCAATGACAATTCCCCCCTTCTCTCTCCACCTACCTCCTCCTCGTTCACTTCGCCAATCTTATTCTTCTCCCAATAATCATAATAACAATGAGTGGATGAACCGGAATCAATATCCGAAGTTCCCTCTTACTGCTGACACAACAACAACAACAACAACAAGTCCACCATAGCTATGGATTCCCTCCTTCTTCCTCCTCT